TGCGTGTGTGTGTGTGTGTGTGTGTGTGTGTGTGTGTGTGCGTGTGTGTGTGTGTGTGTGTGTGATGTAGGCTCCGGCTGAAGGTGCTAACAAAGGCCACGGTCGATCAGCTGATCCCGCAGCTGGCCTCAAATCGACAGACAGTTGTGTCGATGCCACGCCGCTCGCGCTGCACTCGTTGGACTGAAACCGAGAGGCCAAACCGCCTCACACACGGCGCCCTTCTGCTCATGCGCTTTGTCCATCATCTGCAAGACACCCGCGACGTCATCGCCCGTGCGGCCGCATGGCTCGAACAGGTGAGGTGCACAAGAATACGCACGTGCACGCGCGTGTGCTTGCGTGTGCGTGTCTGTGTGTCTGCGTGTGCGTGCGTGTGCGTGTGTATGCGTGTGCGCGTGTATGCGTGTGCGTGTGTATGCGTGTGTGTGTTTGACTCGTGAGGATGCATTTCCACCTTTCCACGTTGCCTTGGAACCCGATCCCATTTGTGCTACGGGCACGTTCGGCTCCACTTGCTTTCCTCATTCCGCACACCCCCCTTCCGTCCAACACCAGGCGCGGCGGCAGGCAGCGAAGATGATGCGGCCAGCAGCGATGGTGGCAGTCGAGGAACGCGTCAATGCCGTCTTCAAAATGCGACGAACCACCCCGCTCGCCGTTGTCGCAGACCCAGCCACCATTGCCGACATCACTGACACCCTCTTTGGTGCGCGCATGGGCTCGTGTGTGTGTGTGTGTGTGGCTGTGTGTGTGTGTCTGTCTGTCTGTCTGTCTCTGTGTGTGTGTGTGTGTCTGTCTGTGTGTGTGTCTGTCTGTCTGTGAGTGTCTGTATATATGCCTGTGTCTGTCTGTCTGTGGGTGTCTGTATGTATGCCTGTGTCTGTATCTGTGTCTGTGTTTGTGTGTGTCTTGGCTGCTGCTGTCTCTGTCAGCGTGTGTGTGTGCATGTATGTCGTCTCTGCCTTCAGCTTTCCGCCATGTGTATGTGCTCATCCCCCTTCGCTGCGCGTTTCCGCACGTCAACATGCACACTGCACATGCTTCTGTGCTCAGCTGACAGCGGCAGCGAGCCACCAGAGGCCGTGGTGGTTGGCAAGCTGAACTTAATCCACCAAGCATGCGTGTCAAACGTGCTGCTGCTGTTTCCAAAGGACGTGGTCAATGACGAGGCAAGCGCGTACATTCTCAAGTACCAAGAGGAGCACCGTGGACACATGCCTTCCGCCATCATCGTTCCAGGTAAGCATGTATTTCCACGTCACATGTCGACGCACGTGCGTGCCAACACAACACACACGCCCACACACACACACACACACACACACACACACACACACACACACACACACACACACACACACACACACACACACACACACACACACACACACACACGCGCGCGCGCGCGCGCGCGCGTGGTGCTGCCATAGCTTTGTCTCTCCCATGCCGCTGGTGTGCTTGCTGCAGCTTCCACAGCAGCTTCCCTCCGCCTTCGCCTCCTCTCCACTTATGCACACGTGCCAGAGCCCTCCCCGTGTGTCCTCACAACTTTCTTCCCCTTCCCTTCCCTCACCACCTCTTGCGAACATCGAACTGCAGTGTGGTGGGAGCAGCTGTTCGCCGTTGTTGCCACTGAGCGTGGTGTTCGCTGCTTGAGCACGGGCGGTGTTGAGTGCAAGTCCGTCGTGCGTGATCTGGCGCGAAAGCTGCACCTCCAAATCAAGGACGTGCTGCCATCCTCGTCTACAACACGAACAAAGGCGGTTCCCACAGCATCGGAGGGAGAGGAGGGCACATCATCCTCTCCTTCTTCCCCGTTTACCACAACTGCCGCCACCAACACCAACAATACTACCTCCTCCACCTCCTCCTCCTCGTCCGCATTCCCAACCGCCTTGTCGGCCTCAACTTCTCTCCCGCGCTCGCCCCGGCAGCCAGCATCGCAGCTGCAGCAGCGACAGCCGTCGTCGTCGTCCCTGTTTTCGCCCTCACCAGCGACATCACCATCACCATCATCATCACCATCATCAACAACAGGTGCATTGCCTTCACCCCTCTGGCCCGCGTTTCCATCCGACATCCTGAACACGAAGTACCTTGACCCTGCACCGCCCACCTACGACCACTCCATCGTGATGCTGGGCGAGCTGGAGAAGCGCTGCACACCAGGGCCGCACCACCAGTGGAAGTCCTCCACCGCGGATGCACACCGCCTCCTCTTGGGCATCCAGCTGGCAACAGCGGACCTGCACGTGTGCACGCCGCTGCCATCACCGGTGACGTCGCCTACAGACTCGAGCGGCTCTGCACAGTCCCCGCAGCTCTCTGGTGGCGCCGTACAACACGCGCCCTTGTCGCCAACTCGGAACACCGCTGTCGCCACCATTGCCACCGCCGGCGCACCCGCAGCAGCCTTAACAGCAGCAACTGCAGTAGCACTGCCAACAACTGCAACAACTGCAACAACTGCAACTGCAAGAGCAGCGACCGCAGTGGGTGCGAAAACTGCGACAACGACCATAACGACAACAGCCACGACGGCGACAACGAGAGGAGCAGCTACACAAGCAACAGCACCGCGACCAGTGCCAGCGAGCACGGCTGCTCTGCCTGCTGGGACATCATCGAAGTTATCTTCCGTGACAGCGTCACTCGCCCAGCATGTGCATATCACCATCACCCACACCACCGCAACCACCGCCACCGCTGCGCACTCCGGAGGGCAGAACAGCAGGGCTTCTCAGGAGCAATCCCTTCTCCCCCAAGGCCAACAGGGTGACGAGAGCGACGAGAGCGACAACGGCGGTGGTGATGGGGATGGCGGAAATGATGGTGCTGAACACAATGGAGGCTCTGGCAGTGGCGGCCGCGGCCATGACCGTGACGATGACATGAGCGGCAGTGACAGTGACAACGGTGAAGCCAATGACCTGCGCGAAGATTCTGATGATGACAACGAGGACAACAATGACAACGAGGACGAGGACAACAGCAGCAACGACAGCCACCATGGCGACGCTGGCAGTGTCACAGACGGACAACACCAGCGATCACCGATGCCATCGCCATCCACCAAGCCCAGCAGCGCACAGGGGAGTGGTGGAAGCTCTCGTACACGCGAATCACACGCAGAAGAGCGGGCGAGTGCTGCTGGGCAGTTTGCACGAGGACACGCGCACGACCAAGTGAACGCCGTCGATTGCAGTGTTGATGGCGGTCGTGCGCACGGAGGTGATGAACGGAGGGACCGCAATCTCCACGCTGATGTTAAGAAACAACAACAACAACGACAACAACAACAACAACAACAACAACAACAACAACAACAACAACAACAACAACAACAACAACAACAACAACACCAGTACCACCAGCACCAGCAGAAGCAGGTCTCGCATGGCAGTGACACTTATGAGAGCGAAGGCAATGACGACAGCAACGGCAGCACCGATGCCAGTGGCGCAGCGCACACACCCCACGCCCAAACCGCAAGCACCCACAACAGCAGCGCTGGAAAGCAGAGCAACGAGCACAAACGCGAAGGCAAGCGGAAGGCCAAGCGCAAAGAAAGTAGCCGCCGCGGCAGCGTTGACAGTTACTCATCGCCCGTGACGGCTCCCATGACGCCGGGCACGAAGGCGGGCCTGGAGGCAGCACACAGCTTGCTGCAGCTCTCCGAGAACGCACACCACCCAGGCTCACCCTCACTGTCGCCGTCATCATTCCAACAGCAACCAAGCCGGTTGTCATCGCCGCCTCGGCAACAGCAGCACATGCTCAAAAAGCCCAAGAGGAATCAGCAGCACAACGTGGTCTCTTCCTCCTCGTTTGCTGCGACACCATCACCCTTGCCACTTCCTTCATCATCGTCGTCGTCGTCGTCCTTGCTTGTGCGTCATGATGAGCAAGAGGGTGGGCAGAGCGATCGTATCGCTGCTGGTGGCTCGTTCATCACCGTCCGCACGTCGTCTCCGCTGCCACCAGAGCATCCCGAGGCCGCACCAACGCCATCAGCTGCTGTGCCAACCCATCCCCACGTCCAACAACAGCCTGTTGTACTGCCAACACCTGTGCCTGCTTCTACACCATCCACCATGCCCCGTGTTCATGTGTACGGCGGCGCTGCACACCATGCCTCTGCCTCACTGCCGCAGCCAGGCGCCTCGCTCTGGCGCAGTGATCTCGAACGGCACAAACATGCACAACAACAACAACAACAACAACAACAACAACAACAACAACAACAACAACAACAACTACAACAACAACTACAACAACAACTACAACTACAACAGTGGCAGCAGCGACCGTACTATGACACACAAGACCACGGCGTCTATCAGCACCAGCACCAGCACCAGCACCAGCACCAGCACCAGCAGCACAGCTTGCATGGAGTGCGCAAGCGTGGCCAGCACCGCCATGATTCGTCTGGCAAGCGGAAACACGCCTCCCACAAAAGCAAGAAGCACAAGAAGACCAAAGCCAAGGACACACGGCACCAACACCACCACAACAACCAAAACCACCAACAGCAACAGCACCACAAGCACCAACACCACCAACACCACCAACAACCTGGAGGACATTCTAGTCATTCAGCCATTCATTCCCAACACAACACAGCGCCGACACACCTCGTCTCCATTCCCGTCTCGCCACATGGTCCCGAGGATGCTGATGTGCCTCGAGATGTGCAGGCAGCACTGGCGCGCTTGTGTACACGCCCTTCCTTCGCCCTGTATCGCCTGGCACCATTTGCTGCAGCTCCACTCACTCCGCCAGACACCGTCATTGCATACGCAGCTGCCACACTTGGCGAGCAACTGAGCACGCAAGAAGCAGAGCTGGTGCTCAACGGTACGCTCCACACCTTACTCGCTGGACCACCGCCACACGACACATCGTCCAACCCCTCCTCCTCTTCCGCATCAGCGAAGAATCACCAACACAAGCCTGCTGATGGCAGTGATGATGTAGTCATGCGCTCTGATCAGTGGTCCCACGCATATGTACGCTGGCGCTGGAAGGGCCAACAAAAGGCAAAGCAGGCAAAACGGGCAGAGAAAGCCGAAAGCACGGTGCTCCCATCAGCACCACCGTCAGTAATGGAGGCGCTGCGTGTTGCAATCGTGCGATTAGCGTGGACGCGCTATCACCACCTGCTGTTCGCTCTGCGCGTGCAGTATCAGCGGCACCTTGAGCTGAATGCTGCGCTTGATCCCGTGGTGCGATCAATCGTTGCCAAACAGACGGATCAGCAGTGGGCAGCGATGCTTTCACGTGTGCGCATGGCTGTCGCCACCGGCACACAAGCCGCAGCTGCGGCGCCAGCGACAACGCCAGCACCAGCACCAGCACCAACACCAACACCAATAGCACCCGCAACAGCTGCGCCGACGGCAGTGGCAATGGCGGGCTTGCATCAAGGCATCGACTCTGGTGTTGTCGCTGATTATGATGGCAGTGGCGGTGACCGTGACGACGCATACACGGCAGCTGCTGTTGGCGCGTACAACACCGCCGTTGCTCGTAGTGTTATTGGTGGTGCGCAGGTATCTGCGGGCCAGGGAGGTGGTGCGGCCATTCGCCGAGAAGCTGGTGCGGACAGCGACTCCGAGAGCTCTGGCGAAGATGACAGTGGCGACTCTTCGAGTGGCAGTGACACTGGCAGTGCCAGCACCACCATCAATGTCAGTAGCCATGGGGAAGGACAACAAGCAACACGCTACCGACAGCAACAGCTACGGCAGAATGGCGGCGCTGCTGGTGTTCACAGAGGCATCGGCGGTGTGCTGCCGCGTGGCGATGTTGCTGCTTCTGCTGCTGTTGCACGCGTTGCGACGCAGTTGCGGGCGTGGTGCCAGCCTCAGGTCGTGCGCCAACATGTGGCGCCGCCTGTCGCCTCCAGCAACGAGCAGCATGCCACCATGCGTCCAGTCGCCAACAGCAGCAGCGGCATGGGTGTGGTGGCTGTTGGTGCTGCTGCTCCCACGCACACGCCCCAAGCAAAGACGCACGTGGTGCGTGACCTTGTCTCCCGCGCAAGTATCCCGCCATTGCAACCAGCACGACGTGGCGCAAATGGCGGTCGCCGCCACCGCCACCATCGCCGTCGCTGGCGATTTGTCGATGGCTTTCCTCCCACGGACGACAGGTACCCAGCAGAAGCTGACGCCACAGCCCAGTGTACTGGTGTCACTGTTGAAACGCGGACCACACATGGTGTGTATGCGCACACGAGCGCCCGTGGCCAGGCATCATCGCCATCAACGGCTGCCGCGGCCTCAGCGCTGTTGGCGTCGCTGTCGGCAGCTTCCCCCTCCTTCTCGCAGGCGAGTACAACAGGTACTGTGCACGGGGGCACAAGCACCCGTCAAGGTATGATGGAGGCTGGTGGGCGACGCTTGAGCTGGCAGACACAGCGCCAACCTGCAGGGCAGTACCAGCAGCAGTGTCAGCACGAGTGGACTACGGCACGGAGCATGAACAAGAACAAGAAGAACAAGAAGAGGAGGGCGTTCAGTGATGGAAGTGCTCGTGGCGGCGGCGGCGGTGGTGGTGGTGTGGATCGTACCGGTGCGACAAGGAAGGAGGACTTTATGCTCACATGGAAGGTTCACAAGCCAAGGTTCAAGGACCACGACAAGGAGCATTAAGGACGTGCGGGCTTGGTGATTTAATCGCGGCAGCTCTGGTGCTGGTAGCGGTGGTGGTGATTGTGGTGGTGGTGAAAGGCAGGGGCGTTGGTTGCGCATTTGACGACTTTGCGACATTGGGAGGGGGGTTGGAAGGCACCGAAGATGTGTGTGTGTGTGTGTGTGTGTGTGTGTGTGTGTGTGTGTGTGTGTGTGTGTGTGTGTGTGTGCACGGTTTTGGGGCGGCTGAGTGGTGTTTGTTGCTGTCTTGGTTTTGTCGATTGCTATGTGGGCGCAGCAACACTTAATCGCCTGTAGATGACATCTCACTGTTCATTCTTTCTTTGTTGATGTAATGTGCTCCGTGGTGGGTGTTTTGACCGCACTCTTCTTCATGCTGCGATGTTGTGAGCGCATGCGTTTGTGGGGAGCACTTCAATCTCTCTTTGTCTCCACCCTCTTCTTCTTCTGAGATCCTTCCATTGTTGTTGTTTGCCTGATGGTGTTGGTTACATGATGTCTTGACATGAAGCCAGTGCGTGGGTACGTTGGTACGTTGTTTGTGATTGGCGTGCTGTGTTTGCTTACCTGTTGTACATGGCGTGTGCTGCGTTAATGTCATCGTACATGCCACCAAGCACCTTGATATTGGTGCCCGTTGTTGTTTCTTCTCCCCCCTGGGTGCGGCTGGTCTGATTGATGTCAGCGTCCACTCACTGATCACTCGTTTCACCAATGTGATCAAGTGCGTTTATGAACATAGGAAACACATAGGAAACACATCTAAAGCAACCCCGTGGGTGTTGGTTGGTTAATTATGGTCGTGTGGGTGGTGGAGCAGGAGGGATGTTAGGAGTCCAAGGCACCGTGGAAGGTGGCAGAGGTGACACGTTTGGCTCACGCACATTCCACTCACAAAAATCGACTCACACACGCACACACAAGACACACACACACACACGTATACACACACACACAAGACACACGCACACACACACGCACACACAAGACACTCTCCCCCAACACGCTAGGTGCTAGGAGAACGAGAGCTTTGGTCGCTTTGTGAGGTGGCCCAGCTCAAACGCGTCACGGCGTGGTGCGCCTGCCCAGGGCAAGATGCGGTGTGCCTGTCGCCGCCGCCACTGCTGCTGCGCGCGGTCGTCTTGCAGCCCTGCATGGAACAGCTGTCGCTCAAGCTGATCGAGGTTGCGTGTCTGCGCACGCGTATACATTTGTGTGTGTGCGTGTGTGCATATGGATGCGGGTATGTGAGTGACAGTGTGTGTGTGTGTGTGCATGCAGAGGAAATGCCACGAGGTGATAAGCAGAAGCCAGCCTAAGAGACGTAGAGGGGTCGAACACATGGCGCACCAAGACGCCCAACAACAGTCATGTTCCCATATGCACACACACACACATGCAAGCCATATGCACCTTTTCTGATGTGTCGTCTTGGACGGCGTTCTGTGAAATGTCCAGGATGACGAGGTAGCGGTGGCCAAACGACTGAAAGGAGATCGTACGCAGTTGGTCAGTTGTGTTTGGCAGCCGAGCGGACGCTGGAGGTGAGAGTGGACTTGATGCGGGAATAGGCGCACGGCAAGAAATAAAACAGGCACGCGAGGTGAGTGGTGGGTGCAGGCCTACATCTTGGATGGTGGTCGCGAGATCGCCGTCCTGGAAGAGCGTGAGATATGTGATGGCAAAGGAGAAGAAGTGGGAGCACCACGACTGGAGGTTGATCACCGTGGCATCTGCGCGCAGCATGTCCAGGTACTTTGGACCCAGGAACTTTGGTGGATCCACTTCGAAGATGTCTTCACCGTTCTGTCCATGTGAAGGACGAGGTGTGAGCGCAAGCACATCTAGATGATGGCAGATTACAATGCACGCACGCACGCACACACACGCACGCACGCACGCACACACACGCACACACACACGCATGCACACACGCACATCCACGCACATACACACACATGGCCACACTCATACACGCACATGGCCACACTCATACACGCACACACGCACACGCATGCCCACACGCACACACACGCACATACACACACATAGTCACACACGCATACACACAGCGAGGCACGCTTGCCTTTTCTCGGTAGCTCTTGATGAGCCAGAGTGGGAGGTCCACTTTGCTGCCTTTCCTCAGGTAGGGTGTCGCACTGGAAGGATCCAAACTCCCCATTTTGATCACATCAATGGACGCCACACACGGTAACTGTGGAACGGACACCGTACATGGCATGTCAAGCAACAACAAGCTGTGAATGAGCCACACCAACCACACCAACCACGCCAACTCAATCACACCATCAACACAACACACCAAGCATTGCTTGTGCGGCGTCACTGCCAGACCAAATAGGTAGCAATCAAAACAGCAACAGGCATGCAACAGACGCTCGCTCAGGGTTGCTTGAATAACTCACAACAGCTAACACGTACCCGTTCCTCTTGCATGAGGATGTCGTCGATGTCAAAGTACGACATGGCCACTACTGTGATTAACAACAATGCGCCAGCGACTTGGTGGTGGTGTTGTGCGCCTTGTCAGTCAGTGTGGCCGTTGTTGTTTGCGGGCGCGCCGTTGAATCCTGAAAAGTTGCGATGGTTTGACACGAATTTCGACAGTGCGCAAGCGAGCAGCAACGTTGAGCAGCCACGACGACGATGATGATGATGATGGGTGTGAGAGGTGCAGGTGTTGTGCTGAGAGCACCAGGTGCGGTTGCAGCGGCGACGCTGGCTGGACGACTGGCGCGTCGAAGCACAGCGAGGACCCTCGCAACTGTGCAGAGCATGTGTGGTGTGCAGAGCGCTGTTGCTGGCACTGGTGCTCGGGTGTGGTGGACGCCGCCGGCAGGGGCGGTGCGTGCTGGCGCAAGCCTGCGCTTGCTGCACGTGGCCACGCCTACGGCGACAGCCAAGGACGGGGAGCAAGGCCAAGCAGAGCCCATTGTCATCACACCATCAAAGCAAGACCGTTCCAACGAAACCACGGACCACAAGCGCGCACGTCTCCTCTACCAAAGCAGGTGCGGTGAAGAACGCACGAGTGAGTGTGAGTGTGTGTGTGTGTGTGTGGCGGTGAGCGGGTATGTGCGTGCGTGTATGTTTGTGTGTGCATGTTAGTCTGTGTATTGTCTATTCGCACATCTACTTCTGTGTGTGTGTGTGTGTGCCACACAGTGGTTGTGCGTTGTGTGGTCACTGCGCTTGTGGCGGTGTTAGCATCCACACACAACACTCTTTGTTGTTGTGGCGCTCTTGTCAGCACATGACATGAGGGCCGCTAGAATGGCACTCATGGTCACGCTGTTCCACGTCAATGCACCGTATCGTTCCTTTTATTTCTTTTCAATGCAATAGGAAGCGCGGCATCAAGGAGATGGACCTCATCCTTGCGTACGTCCAACCTTCGTCGCTGCGGCCAGCACTGTTGTTGTTGTTGTTGTTGTTGTTGTTGTTGTTGTTGTTGTTGTTGTTGTTGTTGTTGCTCTTGTTGTTGTTGTTGTTGTTGTTGTTGTTGTTGTTGTTGTTGTTGTTGTTGTTGCTCTTGTTGTTGTTGTTGCTCTTGTTGTTGTGTGTGTGTGTGTGTGTTGCGTGTGGATATCTGATGCTGACGCGCTCGGTGTGCACCAATTTCATTTCCATCGCTTTTAACGCAAAGTTCGCTGGTACCATCACGTGACTGGGTTGCGTTTCTAGTACGTATGCGGATCAGTACTTGGACACCATGACCGAGCAGCAGCTTGAGGAGTACGACTCCATCCTGAATGACCACGATAACGAATGGGACATGTTCAAGTGGCTCACGGGCAAGGAGGTGCGTACGTGTATGCGTGTGTGCGTGTGTGTGCATGGTATATAATTGTGCTGGGTACCCGCCATCGTTCGGTGGGCTGTTCACCTGTCCTGTGCTTGACATCTTCCACATTGACATGAAACCTTTGCTTACATACACACACGCGCACACGCACATACACATGCGCACATACACACACACTCACACACACTCACTCACTCACACACTCACTCTCACACATACACACACACACACACACACTCTCTCTCTCACACACACACACACACACACACTCTCTCTCTCTCTCTCTCTCTCTCTCTCTCTCTCTCTCTCTCTCTCTCTCTCTCCCTCCCTCTCTCTCTCGCTGCCTCTGCTTGTCCCGCTTAACACAACCCACGCCCTCTTTCCTGCTCGTACCGTTCTTCCTTTTCTCTGTGCCCTTTCTTTCTTTGTCTTTTTTGTTTTTGTTTTTCACCCACCGCCAGGAACTGCCGGAGTACCTGCAAGGGTCGGGGGTGATGCAACACTTGATGGAGTTCACCAAGAATCCAAACAAAGAGCAGCGTGCACACATGCCTCCCCTGCGCCCAAAGCAGCAATAAACAAGGCCACCAGCGAGGAACAGCACATCACGATGTGTGAGAATAATGAGTGAGTTGGGAGATATCATCACGTGTGACCATGTCTTGTCTCGGTGGTGGTGTGCTGGGTGTTTGAAACGAAACATGCCGCTCGTGCGGTCGCCTCACGGGTGCCAGGTGGTTGTGTGACACATGACATGAAGACATGACACATGACAGCATTTTGGCCTTGAATGACGTCATCCGCAATGTTCAGAACGGAACATTATGTCATCCTTGTGAAATGAGCCGCAATAATCATGCCATTACATTACAGCGGCACAGCAAGACGAGGCTGTTGTGTGCATTGCCCGATTCAGGGAAGTAGGCTGCTTCTGCTTTCTCAGAAACAACAACGTCGTTCGCTCACGACTTCTCAGGGCTACCTCGAGCAACCAAGCCAACTGGCTGGCACGCTGTTGCCCTTCTCGTCACAGCGCCACTTGTTGTTGGTGGCTGGGCAAACTCGACCACGCATTTTCTCACTGCACCGCTGTCAAGTGACTTTAAACAGTGGCACGTGAGCCAACAAGCCAGCTGTGGCACCTTTAAGCCCTGAGCACACACCCCTCCCTTCAACAAACAAACAACAGCGCCGCCACCAAGCGTGATGGGTGGCCACCGTCCTCGCCCTGAAGACATCCAGCGGCTGTCCCAGGGCATTCGCCAGGCGTTTGAGGCCCTCGATTGCAGCGTCCCTGTCGAAGAGGTCAAAGGCATGGCGCGATTGGTTGCGTCTTCGATGACAGGGCCAAACAACGTCTACCATGCCATGTCGCACGTGTTCGATGTTGTTCCGGAGAAACCAGAACAAGACCCTCTGGCTTACCTCGCCGCCGTCTTCCACGACATTGTCTACCTGCAAGTGGATGGCTGTATTTCACCTGCATTCCTGCCCATCCTGCAGCGTGCCCGGCTGCTGCCGGTGCCGACAGCCGAGGGCCTCGCTGCAGTACATGCTGCCTGCAGCAACTTCCGCGCGCGTACGCGCACCAACGACAGCAGCTCGTGCAGCGCTCTACCGCAGCCCATGGCCGCACAGCCAGCACTCCTGACCAGCGAGGGCATCCGCAAGCGCATCCACGCCCTCAGCAACCCAGGGCACCTGGCCTTGATGGCCGGGCAGAACCTGCCTGACGGTCATGCTGTCAAGGGCACCAACAACAAGCAGCAGACGCAGGTGCACACCACCGCCATCGATACTGAGGAGACGGCAGCCATCATGCCATGCCACACCACAAGGGCGGCACTCAAGACCACCGCCATTAGCCGCCAGCCGAGCATCGACAGCAGGGACACCGAGGAGTGCAAAGACAGCACCGAGAGCATCGCAAGCTGTGATTCTGGTGTATCCTCGTCCAGGCCACGACCACCAGGCTCGCTGACAGCCACTACAAGCACAGCAACACCAGACCGCCAGCGACGGGGATCTCTACGCGTCCAGGACTCTCCGGCTGTCATGACCACTCTCAAGGCGGTGGAAGCGTGGCGGCGCTCGACGACGTACGTCGTGTCTGACGATCACATGAGGCTGCCACACCCAGATCCCTCAGTTGCACAAGTACAAAAGCGTGCGCTGGCCCAGCAACTGTGCTACAGCATCTTCGGGCACACACCTGGCAAGCTGCTGCCATTTGCCATCGGCACCCTGGGCCTGAACGAGTTCCTGAGCTGTGTGATCGCCATGGACGTGCTGGCGCCGTGGCTCACAGAGGCGCAGCTGCTGCATGTGTGCGTCTGCATTGAGGCGACGATCCCCTTCCGCCCTTCCAACTGCACCACCACCCTCCATGGCCGGTGCCTTCACGCAGCGACACACCAGCTGCATCTCCCCCGCGAGCAGGAGCACACCGCCGTGCGCCTCACCAAGCACATGGTGGAGAGTGCCTGCGAGATGACCGCCCGCGACGTGGGCAACTTTGCCCTCGCTGACACGCGCGGGTTCCTGGCCAACACGTGGAAGCTGCTGCCTGAGCTCAACATGGCCCTGCGCAACACCGCCACCTTCACGCTCAAGGACTGGATGGGCGCGATGGCCGGTAACTGGGGCTTCTTCCGCTTCCTCTTGCGGGACCCGGCAGTCATCTTCCCCCGCTTCGGCCACTGCTGCACCGATGAGAAGCGACAGCAGATGGTGGCCCGGGCAGTGCGCAACCTGCAGAGGGGCCGCACCTATATTGGCGCCCGTCTGCTCAGCGCCAGCATCATGCACGCGGTGCTGTCCCACAGGCATGCGCACGTGATGAGGCTGGACGACATGATGGACGCCCTGGCCAGTGCGCCCGTTGGCATGTTGTTCGGTGGTGACTGCACGCAAGGAGGTCTGCTGGCGTGCCAGGGCCCATGTCTCTGCCCAACCTGCGCCACTTGCGCCACCGTCACTCAGGCAACCTCGCAACAGCAACAGCAACAGCAAGGCAGAGCGGAGTTCGACTTTGGCGACGAGAGTATGTCACGTGACGTGTATGTGCAAGCGCTGTTGCGGCACGGGTTTGATGGCAAGTACAATGGACAGGCAGTTGCCTTCTCATCCACCTGCAGTCTTTCAGCATCCATATTCCAATACCTGCACGACAGCAACACGGGATGGACGAGGTACTTGCAGGTGGAGCAGCGAGAGGAAGGGGAAGGAAACGAGATGATGGATTCGATGTGGCCGCGTCAGGTTCCTGTCACGTTTGAGGAGTGCGTGCAATCCAGCGTTGAGTATCACAGAGGTGATCTGGACGCCACTGCATTCCTTCTGCAATTGCCGGACGCTGTTGTACAGCTTGCGCAGCAGCACTTGCGCGCCCACCTGACAGTCTGGGTTGTGTGACCCTTCTTTGTGTGTGTGTGTGTGTGTGTGTGTGTGTGTGTGTGTGTGTGTGTGTGTGTGTGTGTGTGTGTGTGTGTGTGTGTGTGTGTGTGTGTGTGGATGTGTGTGTGTGTGTGAATCCTGGCCTGCACTCAAGCAAGCCATATCTGGGGTATGGTTTGACCCCCTCCCACTCATGTCACGCTTCTCTTGAATGTGATTGAGTGTTGGAGCCACTTGCCTGTTCTTAAGCAATCCCTGTGTACATGTGTCTGACCCCCAATGGATGGATGGCTGGTTGGTCGGATACACGTGGTGGACGAGTTGAATTTCAATAGATGATGTACGCAGCGCGAATGAAAAGGTGAATGAGAGCAGCTGGGAAGCGAGCAACCCTCACCGTTACAAGTCACATGTGCATGTGTGCGTGAATGCTGGGGGCAAAGGTGAAGGGGGGAACACGGGCAAAGAGACGGAGGAGTGGCAAAGAGAAAAACGACGCAATCGTGTCAGATGGGAATCCTCAAGCCCAACAAGTTCACAACAAGGAATAGGGCACGCACATAGGAAGCTATCGCAGCAGAAAGCATGGGATGCACGGACACACACAGACACAAGGATAGACACACAGACACGCACGCGTACGCACACACACACACACACACACAGACAGACAGACAGACAGACAGACAGACAGACACACACACACACACACACACACACACACACACACACACACAGACACACACACACACACAAAGGCACAACAACATTTCAATGCGTGCGAATGGCCGTGCATGCACGCAATGCGCGGGTTGCAGCATCAAGGACGAGGGAATTGGCGGAAAACCGCTGCAGTGTTGTGGCGGCCACGCGAACCACCTCAGCTCGCATCTCGCCCGCGCTGCTGCTGTACGAGCTGCCCACAACGCGAAACGAGCACGTCTCGCATGCCGCGCCGCCCCCTTGGCAGCACTGCCGGCGTGGCTGTGGTTGCTCCGACGACGGTGGGCAGTCGACCGACACAGCACGGGGGACCTCGTCAGGATAGGTGACATGGAGCCCAGAATCAACACTCGCGCGTCCGTGTTGGCAGCACCGGCAGTCACGACACACGCAACGACAGATACTGCTGTCACTCGCACCATCACGGCCGTGCACCGCCACGCGAACCAGCTGCTCCAGTACCCGCAGCCCCGTCATCTGCACGCTGGCCACATCAGGATGCACCGCCATGCTCGCGGTCACCCCGGCAGCCATCGCCTCCAGCTGTGCGCGTGTCAACACACCAGGCACTGCGCCGCCACCGCTGCCGTGACCGCCACTGCCGCTGGTGTCGAGCGCAATTGCTCTTATCGCTGCTGTCGCCACAACCGCTTCCAGCACACCGAGCGCTGCCAGCTGAAGTGCCCTGTCCCGCGCATGCGTCCTCATCGCCGGGAGAACGGCAGTGGCAATGGCACGGGAAGCGACCATGCCACGTACGCACGCCGCGCGCCCATTACTGCTGCTGCTGCTGCTGACGAGCTGTGCAAGCAGGGTGCAGCCGACGCGTTGCAAGCCGGCGTGGGAACCATGCTTCGCCATGATCTGCACCACGCTGCGCACGCCAGACCCACACGCAAGCTGCTCACACACGGCCGCGGCGCTGCTGTGCCGTGTCAGATTCACCAGCACGTCGACAGCGAGGTGGAGCAGGGAGGTGCGGTCAGGATGCGCATCAAGGACCATCAGCATCGTGCTCGCAATGCCGTGCGCCAAAGCCTCAACCGCCGCTGCCGGGGAGGTTGAAGCCGTGCTGGTTGCAAAGGATGGAGCAAGCACAGAGAGGGCCGCCCTGGTGAGCGCGCTGGGGGGAAACGGGCATTTCACCAGGTAGGCATTGGCCACAAATGGGTGTTCGACATAGTCTGCACTTTCGTCGCCGCTGTTATCGTTGCTGCTGCTGCTGCTTTTGTTGCTGTTGTTCATATTCCTGCTGCTGTGGCCTTTGTTGTTGTTGTTGTTGTTGCTGTTGTTCATATTCCTGCTGCTGTGGCACTTGTTGTTGTTGCTGCTGGTCTGGCGTGCCATGGCACGGTTTGTGGCAGTGGTGGCGATGACGGGCGCAAACCACACGGTGCGCTGCCTGCGTGCGCTCGTGATCGCGTCCCTGGTATCTGCGCATGCATTTTCGTTCCTGTCCGCGCTGTTGTTGTGGCTGCTGTCGTTCTCGCCGTCTCCTGCTCCCGACACCAACGCTGGTGGCTGCTTATGGCGCGTACGCGTGCGTGCCGGCGCTGTTGCGGCTGGCACGGTCGTCGTGGAGAGGCTGGCCGCTTGGGTGACGCGTTGGAGATACTCGCACGCGGGGGCCTGCACGTGGTCGAAGGGGCGATTGTTCCGCATGGCGGACAGAACGACTTGCAGCACCAGTTCGCTGTGCACCAACTGGTGCCCTGGTGTCGTCGTCTCTGCTGCAGCAGTCAACGCACTCAGCGCCGCAGCGACCAGGTCAGGCGGCGCGTTGCGCAGGCCCACGGCGCGCACCAGCACGGCCACACACGGCTGGGTGCACTTGCCGCCGAGGGACATCACCTCTGCAAGCGCCAAGCACCCAAACTCCTGCACATCAACGTCTGTCGGGAACTCGCCCATCATGGCCACAAACTCATCCACCTTGCGCGTGGTTCTCTGTCGAGGGGCTGGTTTGTCCATGAGAGGAGCAGAGGCAGTGTGGGCGTGCGCCACACCGGGAGGGTCACCGTGAGCATCACGGGCGATTCCGGAGTCGTCGAAAGCGCTGAGGCTGCGTGAGGACGAGGGTGAGGTGTCCGCGCCGGTAGCATTGGTGGTGACTGCAGCTGTCACGGGTCGCTGCGAGGCCACAGGCGACTGTGGTTGTGACTGTGATGGTGATTTTGATTGTGATGGTGATTGTGGCGGGGAGGACGAGGGTGTCATGGCTGCCGTGGGTTGCGTTGCTTGTCGGGTTGACTGGGGCCCTGCCAGGCGATGTCGAACAGCCGGAGAGATTGCAGAGCGTGATTGCGTTTGCGGGCGAGAGGGACGGGTTCGGACACCCTCTTGGTGGTGGTTTGTTGTGGTTGGTCCTCGTTGGTCAATGACCCAGCGGGTTTGGTCGCGCTGAAGAGGTGGTTCGTGCGTAGGCACCGGAAGGTGTGCAGTGGATGTAACTTGCGAGGCCAGTGTCATGCAGGCTTTCACTCGATGCAGTGTGTCCATAGTGAGGGCTCTGCAGCTGCGACGACTGCGACGACTGCGACGACGCGGGGCCATTTCACTGTGCAGTGTCGGCTTTGTGCCTTGGTCAGTCGTGTGCACAGCTCGCGGTCTTTGTGGTGGCGGCTGCTGCGGTGTCTGGCGCCTCAGGCCTGTCGCTGTTGTTGTTGACGATGATGACGACGACCATCGGCGGCCCATCGTGGACGATGACGCGGTGCTGCCAGCAGCACTGGGGTGAGACGAAGGCTCGCACAGCGGGGGTGTCGGTGGTCTGGCCTTGGCTGGTAGTTGCAGGAATTGGGAGCTACTTTGGCTGAATGAGGGCGCTTCACGCTGTGAGTGTCGCTGGTGTTGTTGTTGGTCCCGTTGGTCTTGTTGGTCTTGCTGGTGGTGGGGTTGGTGGTGTGTGCCACAATTGGACGACGACGACGCGGGAACAAGCAAGCCTCCTCTTGGAGTGTGGTGTTGCATTGCGTATTGGTGTGGATGAACTTGGAGGTTGTTTCACGGAATCACGGGATGGCACAGAAAATGAACGACCAAACAAGACACACGCCTCGAGCACGCCATCTGCCATGCGCATGCGTGTGTGCGTGTGAGTGAGTTGGCCTTTGTGTGAGTCGCCTTTGCATCTGTGGGCCCAATGCTGCTGCACTCACCTCCCACCTCCCCCACAACAACAGCACGACCACGCCACCCGCATTGTCGTCATCCACCAAGCAAAAGTCAGTTAAGGTTGTGGAAAATTAAGTGAAAATTTAAACGAAAACACGGGTAGACCCAAACGCGCGTTCCCACACGCTTGCTTCTTGCTTGTCAGTTTAAGTTTGTTGGGTGTGTGCGGCGTGTGTGTGCGGCGTGTGTGTGTGTGTGTGTGTGTGTGTGTGTGTGTGTGTGTGTGTGTGTGTGTGTGTGTGTGTGTGTGTGTGTGTGTGTGTGTGTGTGTGTGTGTGTGCAGTGGTGACATGACAAAGCCGATGTCTTGTACTGAATTTGTGGTCGAAGCCAACAATAACAGGCGAAGAAAAAATAAAGGAACGCAGTTGTGTGTAATCATGGGTGGTAACAGAGCACGGACACGTCGAGTAGCGGATTTAAAAGTCGCATAGCACGTTACTCGCCGAGGGCGTTTGTTCGTGCACACAGAGGACTTGGTCCAAGTCACGCATTACAGGCCAGAGAAGAGCTTGAACGCCATCTCCGCCGTGTCCTGCGCTGCGCCATCCCTGAAGCAGACATAGAGCTCCCGGTACATGTCGTCCTGAACGCCACGGCTGCCGCCGCCAAAGAACGTGCCGTGCGCGTGGTGCTGTGCGCGTGTGTCCGTGTTCGAGCCGCGTGGAGGCAGGAGGCGGCCCACCACCCAATATGAGAGCGGAAACGGGGACCCGCCACCATGCTCCGCGGAGGCGTGTCGACTCGATGCGCGCTTTGTCCGTCGTCGTTGGAATGCGCTCACGGCAGGGTTGCACGACACGCCCCCACGCGACTGGTGTTGCTGTTGTTGACGCTGCTGCTGGTCGTGTGACGACGACGACCACGTTGCTGTGCCCACCGTAAACATCAAGCCGTGCTCCTCCATCTGCACACGCATGTGTGTGTATGTATGTGTGTGTGTGTGTGTGCGTGCAATTGTGTGTTTGTTAGAGCGTGGGGCTGGGGGTCGAGAGGACAACATGCATGTACAGTATGTGCGCCTGTGTACAGCATTGTTCACTATGATGACAGCATACACGCGTTCGTCTGCACAGTGAAAAACCACACATACACACACAACACCAGAAATAGGGTCGCATCCCTTGCGCCTGCGCAACACACCATGGAGAGCGGGTGGTCGCCCGGGAACATGGCAGAGTGGCGGCGCGACGGCGTTGACGGTGTTGCGGCCGATGAAAGCGGCGATGATGATGATGGTGGTGGTGGTGGCGGTGCTGTAAAGAGGGAGGACGACGTGTTGGATGCGCGGCTCTGGTGTAACAGTGCACGCACACGCAGCGATGTCCTTCGATGCAGCCGTTCAAGGGTGCACGTGTGATTGTAGTGGTGGGCGTGAAATGACAAAGGGAAGCAGAGAGAGGGAAGAGGGTGACACACAAAGGCAATCACGTTGGAGTAGAATTTCGACACACAGGAGCACGCGCACATATATGCACGATACTCGCACAAACGGATACATTGAAGCACAGCAACACACAGTCACACACACAGTCGCACACACAGTCACACACACAGTCACACACAGTCACACACACACACGCCGATGCGCCTACCTGTAGAACTGATCGAGGACCTTGGCCTGCAGAGAGTGTTCGTTGAGGGGTGCAAACGGATCCGAGACGAGGACAAGGCCCGTGCCCGGCTCTGCTGCGAGAAAGTGGAACACGGCATTGCCGCGCCCGCTGGAGATCATGCACCGCGGATCACACGTCTGAACACCATGTGTGGATGGCGGGAGGAAGGGGGAGGGTGAGCGGAAAGGTGTGTGTGTGTGTGTGTGTGTGTGTGTGTGTGTGTGTGTGTGGAGGAGGAGGAGGAGGAGCAAACAGGTTCGTGGGCGTGAGTGGGAGTGTGGGCGGATAGGTGTGTGCATGCTGTTGTTGTTGTTGTTGTTGTTGTTGCGTAAATTGTTGTTGTTGCGTAAATTGTTGTTGTTGTTGTTGCGTAAATTGTTGTTGTTGTTGCGTAAATTGTTGTTGTTGCTGTTGCTGTTGTTGTTGTTGTTGAGAAATGCAACTGTGATTCGTGCGCTGATGATCATCAACACATGCCCGCACCTCCAAGCTCGGCAGGTGGAGCGCCTTCTGGATGACACGCGGGCGACGGCGCACACCAGCGATGCTCAGGCGGCTGCAGACCAGTGGTGGTGGTGTGCGTACGTGCGTGCGAGTGTGCGCGGGCGTGTGTAGGCGCGTGTGTTGGTGGTTGGGGTTGGTTGACGGCATGTGCAGGAGGGCGGCATGAGCGGATAAGACGAAGCGCGAATGGCGGCAGAAAGAGAAAGGGGAAAGGAAGAAGAAGGGCAAAGGACGAGGGAGAGGAAGATTTGGAAGACAGTACGGGTGGGGG